ATAATAATAATAACGATAATAATAAAAATAAAAACAATATTACAATATGGTAAAGCGAGTTTGCTGGACTCAAATGTTATATCAGTGCCGAAAATTCGCGTTAAGACATCTTTTCTTAGCATTGCGTGATCGCGAGGAAAATCACTATGTCTGTTGGCCAAACGTACCCAAATTTACTGCATACGAGATATCTACAGCCATGATTAGCTTTGAAGTTTAGTTAAGTATTATCCTTCATTCGAAGGCTCAATAGGATTCCATTGATTACCCTGAGGTAAACTGATGCAAGCAGAATGTATTACTCGAGACTACTTCATATAAGCGTAAGTCTCTTAGACTGACATTGGATCAAGTGAAACCAAGCAGGGAAGGAATAAGTAATCTCGATATCCATGTTACTAGTTGAAACGCAATTAATCTCTATATTTAGTTTTCTTACTATTGTTCTACTTACCTTATAGACAGCAGATCCATTAACAGCCAAACTTCACCGTCAAGGAAACTCTTTCTTTATCACAGTGATATACTTCTTTGTGATTCTTCGAGAAGATAACCTGTGAGACTAATGTTTCGTGATTTACGTTAGCATTGCTGCAATCAATGACACTTGGTGATGCACATGGTATGTCGGTTGAAGGGAAACCTGGGTGCTGATTTATGTAAACAGCATGCGAGATCGAAAGGGCAACCTACAGATATAGTATTCATTTAATTGGTATTTGAATTTGAGCCACTTCTAAATGGGAGGAAAAAAAAAAAAAAAGAAGAAGAAGAGAAGAGCAATCAAAGCCACAAACCGAATTTTTTTTAAACACATTTACAGTTAATAATAAGCTGTAGTTTAACTCTTTTTTCTTTTTTTGCACTTCCAAAGCATTCTTGAAATGTCTTTAATTAATTTCCACTTTAGCTTAAAATAAATTACAATGCTCGCTTTTAAAACATTTTTATTTGCTGTCCTTTTCCGTTCCATACAACGAGTTCAAAACAAACCCAAAACAGAGGCTTTTTTTTCCTCTTATTCAAGAATAATCATGACTCTGAGCTCGACAAAGTATGCGGAGTGATTTCGGGACGGAGTTTAAGTCATCTTACATGCTAAACGATCTGACGCAACGAACAGCAAACAACTGAATTAGGTGAACGGGTGCAGCTAAAGGTTTGATAGCTGTCACAAGGCCAACAACAACAACAACAACAACAACAACAAAAACAGGGAAAACAAATTGAGGGAAGAAGACGGCTTAATCAAGATCGCGACTTGGCAACATGGTTCATTAACATAGAGGTACGGATTGATGATAGAGAAGGAATGCATTTTTGATGGCTAATTAAGGAAAGCCATAGTTTATGAGAGGGGTTATCGCTACAGTGAATGGAAAAGCTGGAGATATCTTCAGGTTTCAATTAGGATCGCTAAACAAAACAGGTAATATTTTCGTCCCGTCGCCAATGAGCCTGCGGCGCAGCATTTGAACTGGGCTTAAACGTGTTTTTCACAAAAACAACTACAACGCTGACTTTATTAGACGAAACATTTACCGACCTAGTGAAGCTGCCGTTACGAACAGGAACCCTACACCTGTTACTACAGTGACTATACCTTACATTAAGGGCACTTCTGAGACCATCTCACGGATCCTAGAGCCCTACAACATTCGTGTAGCCCACAAACCTACAACTACGTTACGACACTTACTGACCAA